TCCCCCCTCCGTTCCCCCTCCCTGCCCACACGGATTGACTTCAAGGCCCAAAGGCCTGAGCACTGGTGGCAGTAGCTGAAGGAACAGCTCACCAAGACCTCGGACCTGGCCCAGTATCACAGCTGGAGACCCAGAGCCTCCCCTCACCCAGCCCCAGAGTTCAGGGTGGCCCGGTGGGAGTTCTGTGCCCCAGAGCAGCATCCCTGGGGGGCATGGACAGCATGGCTGTGCTGTGCCCCCTTTGAGGCCTGTGAGCCATAGACTGTCAACCCAGAGGACAAAGTTTCCCTGGGGCCAAGGGCGCGACTGTGAGGGGTGGCACGGTCCTACGGGCTGCGGTCATTAGGCTCTGCCTGTCAGGGGACTGGGGATTTGTCAGTGTGGGAAGCCTGGGCCCTCGGGTGGGGGGCTGTGCGTGTTCCTCGTCTGGCAGTCGTCATAGTGCCCTGCCAGGCACGGAGCAAAGGCCCTGCCGGGCTCCTCTCCCGTCATCCTCGAAGCAGCCCTTTGGGGCAGGACTACTCCCACCTGACGGAAGAGGGGCTGAGCTTTCCCCTGCCGAGCCTCCCAGCTGGCAGGGGTGGTGCCAGGAACGGGGCACCTGACAAGCAAACACCACTCCTGGGAAAGGTCTGGCCACAAACAGGGCTGGGTTCTGAGTGCCTGATTTTATTCTGAGTCTTTTGAAATTTTTGAAATTCTCCCTTTTGAAATAACCTTACTTTTAAAGTAACAGCTTCATTGAGATATAATTCACATACCACACAGTTCACACTGGCAGAGTCCTCCCCATTGTGTGAAGCCCCATTGTGACCATCCCTGTGGGGCCCCAGCTGTCAGGGGAGGACCACCCACATCTTGGGCAGTGGGGGGAAGGCAGGCTCCTGGAATTGTTGCCTGGGGGAGGACCTGGGGGCCCTGTCTCCCCCACACCCCCTCACCTCTCTGAATAACACCCTGGCATGGGCTTGAGAGACTGGGCCTCTCCTCCACACGTGTCTGGGAGCCCGAGGTGGGATCCTGGGCCCAGATCCGCAGGGCCAGGGTTCCTTTTTGTGACCAGCTGCGGTGCGGCACCAGGGAGCCCCAACCAGACAGGCTCTCCACTCCTCTCCATTCTCCGCCCTGAACCCCCAACCACTGAGCGCCTCAGGGAAGGGAATGGCTCCCTCTGGGACACCCCGAGGCCGAGGCCTTTCAGCACCCCAAACTCTCTCTGCCTCTGCCCAGCCCAGCTGGCCCTTCACAGGGAACCCTGTGACACTGTGAAGGCACCGCCCTGTCCCCCAAGAGCTCCAGCGGGCCCCATCCCTGGAGCTACTCCTTCCAGCTGGCCCTGGCTGCTGTGGTTGCCCCTTGAGAGAGAAGCTGCAGGTTTTCCAGGCGGCTCAGGAGGGGAGATGGTCTTGCCGAGGGAGGAGGGACTGGAAGCTCTTGGGTAAAAGCACCTGGGCAATCTCTGGAAGTTTCCAGACTTTTCCTGTTACTTAGGGAGTATTTGTCCATCCTTTCTGGCTTTCGAGCAGAAATTTCTGGCTGGGATGGCATGTCCCCATCGCTCCCAAGGAAGCATTCTCAGGACTTCAGGTTTGCATGTCAAAGGAGAACCAGCCCAGCACCATTCCAGCCGGCAGGCTGGGGGCTGACCTCCACCCGCGGGCCCAAGTTGGCACTAGAGGGTCCGTCGCTCGAGCTGCGTGGCTGTTCCAGGACTAATTCATGAGATGAGAGGCTCTTGGGAGGATAGTAAGGCCCAAGGGTCCTAGTAGCACCAGAAACTGTCCACAGGGGAGACCTTTAGCTTCTGGAGGTGGCTCCCTGAATTCCCGCTCTGCCCCGTGTCTCTGGGCTTGGGGATGCGCCTCACCGCCACCGTGCAGCCCACAGGCACCCGCCTGCCCCTTCCCTCGCCCTCGCTGCTCCGTCTGCACACAGCCCGCGGGCCGTGCACTGGGGGCCTGGGTGCTGGAGCCCCTCCCTCTGACCGCAGAGGCGGGTGGCGCAGAGATGACCAGTGGGCAGTGGCGGGAGCTGAGGCGGGAAGGCCTGGAATCTTCCCCAGTGAGAACGCGTCTTAAAGTCGGTCTCTTGCCCGGTGAGATCAGAGCCTTACCGTGCACCCACCTGAGAGCCTGCTGCTGGAGGGTGGCTTGGGAACAAAGGTCACGGAGCTCAGATGCCAGCAGAAAGGCCAGGTCACT